TAAAGTCAGGAGTGGTGGATCAGGAGACCCCCCTATTTTTACCACGATGGCTGACCATCATCAGGAGTTCCTCCGTCTGGATGCCATCGCATCCCCCCCCCCTTTTCCCAATCATTCTGGGCTTCCTTGGCTGCGGGCCCATAACCCCCGGTTGATTGGGAGAAGGGAACGGTTCAGTTTCGGTCACCATACTGCCGGGTATCACTGCCACGTCCCAGGGCCCGTGCCGCCCCGGTTTCTCCTATGCATGGATGGTGATACGGATCTGTCTCAGGTTATCCCTCCGGCCTACCACGATTCTTAGATGTGTTCAGTAAGCGAGGAGCAGACATTCTTCCCCCACACCGTTCCTACGATTGCCCCATAGACCTCCTACCCGGATCTGAGATTTCATTCGGTCGCATTTTTTCCATTATCGGAACTAGAATCAGGGGTTTTGAGGGAGTATATTGATGACATTCTGCGGAAGGGATTTATTCGCCCGTCCACGTCCCGGCCGGGGCTGGGTTTGTTTTTTGTAGAAAAAAAAGACAAATCGTTACGGCCCTGCATTGACTACCGAGACCTGAATAAAATCACAGTAAAAAATCGCTATCCGTTACCCCTAGTCCCTGAGCTCCTCCAGAGGTAAGGGTCAGCAGCGATTTTTACTAAATTAGACTTGCGGGGGCATATAACCTTGTACGTATCAGGGAGGGGGATGAATGGAAGACAGCCTTTCGTACGAGATTCGGTCATTTCGAATATTTGGTGATGCCGTTTCGGGCTCTGTAACGCACCGGCCACCTTCCAACACTTTATTAACGATGTCTTTCGTGATTTCCTCGATGTCTTTGTGGTTGTCTACCTAGATGACATCCTGATATTTTCACCCTCACTGGAGGCTCATAGGGAGCATGTGGCAAGGGTCCTAACACGTTTACGCCAACACGGGCTTTACGCCAAGGCAGAAAAATGCTGTTTTGAACAGTGTGAAATAACGTTCTTGGGACTGGTCCTCTCTCCCGCGGGGGTCGCGATGGATCCCCATGAAAGTCACGGCGATCTTAGATTGGCCAACACCCACCGATAAGAGGGGGGTACAGCGTTTCATTGGATTCGCAAACTTTTATAGAAAGTTTGTCAGGAACTTCTCAGGGCTGGTCTCTCCCCATCACGCAACTGACTAAACAAGGGACTCGTTTTAAATGGACCCCCTGAAGCCCAGACCGCGTTCGACATGCTCAAGAAATTGTTTACTTCTTGCTCCCATTCTCTGCCATCCAGATTCTTCTCTTCCATATGTTTTGGAAGTGGACGCCCTCCGAAAACGCGGTAGGAGCGATTCTTTCCCAAAGGAGTGGTGCCAAGGAGTTACTGCATCCCGTGGCGTTTTTTTCTCCAGGAAGTTGACTCCGGCGGAGCGCAATTACGATATTGGAGATCGGGAACTCCTGGCCATCAAGTCCGCTCTAGAAGAATGGAGGTATCTCCTGGAAGGAGCCACACACCCAATCCTAATATCACGGATCACAAAAAAACCTCGAGTATTTAAGGACGGCGAAACGACTGAGACCACGCCAGGCGAGATGGGCTCTTTTCTTCTCTCGATTTACCTTTCATATAACGTACCGACCGGGGGTCTAAAAATACAAAACCAGACGCTCTGTCCCGCATGTTTGAGGACCCCGACGATACAGTGTTACCCCCTGACACAATTTTGCCATCCGGAAGCTTCCTCGTCCTGCAAACGGAACTTCGCTCCAGACTGATTGACGCTTCCGTTGGACTGCCAGTTCCGCCTGGGTCGCCCTCTCCAGAACCGCGATGGTCTGCTTTGGAAGGAAAAAATCGGATCGTGGTGCCAGAAGGAGTTCAAACTTTCGTCCTGGGGCACTGCCACGACCATCCAATGGCAGGGCACTTTGGGGTGGCGAAGACTCTGGAGCTACTACGGCGCTCATTCTGGTGGCCAAACATGGTCAAAGACTGCGAGCGCTACGTCCAGACCTGTCCCACCTGCCAAAGGAACAAGCCCTCCAGAAGCAAGGCCTGGGGATTGTTGCGTCCATTGCCGATACCCAAACGGGCCTGGCAAATGATTGCCATGGATTTTGTGGTCGAACTCCCACCGTCTCAAGGCTACACTGCTATAATGGTGATCGTGGATCGCTTTTCAAAGATGGCTCATTTCGTGCCCTTGGAAAGAAACCCCGTCGGCACCGGAGACTGCACGGATATTCATCAAGGAAGTAGTAAGGCTACATGGGATACCCGAAGACATAGTATCGGGGATCGGGGAGTCCAGTTCACATCTAGATTCTGGAAAGCCTTATGTGAAGCATTAGGAATCAAACTGTCACTGTCATCTGCTTACCATCCACAGACCAACGGGCAAACAGAAAGGACCAATCAAACATTGGAACAGTACCTCAGATGCTACACCCTCCTATCTCCAGGAACGACTGGCTAACACTGTTGCCTTCTGCAGAGTTCGCCTATAATAACTCAAGCCACTCAGCGACGGGACAATCACCGTTTTTTACCAATTTCGGATATCATCCTACGTTTCTCCCCGACCTAACGCCCGAAAGTCCGGTACCCGCATCTCAAGATGTCTTGCATTTCTTTTCTGTCAATAACAAAACGATTCAGGAGGCCATCACTAAGGCCCAAGAAGATAGTAAAAAGGCGTTCGACAGGAAGAGAAGAGGAGAGCTGTTGCTCCAGCCGGGGGATCAGGTTTGGTTGGCTACGACCAACTTGAAAATGCTGTGTCCTTCCAGGAAGTTAGGACCGAAGTACCTAGGACCATTTCCAATTAAACGGGTGATCAATGAAGTGGCCTATGAACTTGAGCTCCCGGAGTCTTTCAAAATACACCCGGTGTTCCATGTCTCTCTCCTGAAACCATCCAGACCAGATTCCTTCCTGGATCGCCAATCCAGACCTCCTGAGGCAGTCGCCATAGGTGACCAGGAGGAATATGAGGTAGAAACTATTCTCAGTTGCCGAAAGAGGGGGGGCCAGACGCAGTTCCTGATAAAATGGAAGGGTTATGGCCCTGAGGAGAATTCTTGGGTGCCCATCCAGAATGTTCACGCCCCCAGACTCATCCGGGAATTTTTTTGTGGCCACCCGCGGTGGAGAGATCAGTGGGGCTCCCGGAGGGTGCCCATAGGGGGGGGGGGCAATGTCAGGGATCGCGGCGTCCTGTCGGCCGGCGCATGCGCACTGGCCACGGCTCACGCCCGGACACAGGCACTAGGTCCCGGCGAGCCGTGGATGACAGGATGCCGCGCATGCGCAGTGGGACCCGCGGGCGCGCCTCGGGCGGCCAATGACAGCCCGGGGGCGTGTCCCGAGCGGCCAATGACAGTGCAGGGCGCAATATTTAAAGATGCCCTGCACTGTCAGTAATCGCCGCAAGGTCTATCTGAGTTCCTGAGTCCTGTACCTGTGTTTTTGACCTGATTAACCCTGACTACGCTGCCTACTCCTGTGTTGACCCGGATTGTACCTGACTACTCTGCCTTCTCCCATCCTGACCCTCGGCTTGTTTTGACCTCTCTACGGACTGACTTATCCTGCTGACCCTGCGTGTGACCTGACTACTCTCCGCCTGCCGATTCTGTACCTCGCCTACCCCACGGGACCCCCACTCGTGATCCATCCTGCTAGGTCCTGCCGTCCTCCTCACATCTGGCTCTCCCGGTACCAATACATCCCCGGAGGTTGCCCCTGCCACTGGTGGGCCTGCTCGGAGGTCGTGACCTGGTCCCGGTCTGTTTCAAGTCCATCCCCACCATCAGGGGCCCTGGTGAAAGCACAGACCGGGACTTAGACTCCACGCTTTGGGTAGGTCTGTCAAGTGGGCAGCCAGGGGCACCACCTGGCGGGTTCTAACACCCTGGAACACGAACTGGAACAGGAAGTGAGAGGGGAGAGAGCTGGAGAGAAGAAGCAGAGAGAGAGTTGTGCTGACTGCCAGAGAACCGGACCAGGCCGCAGAGCCAGAAAAAGGAGAGGCACACGAAGAAGTCTTTGACCACTAGCCTTGCCACCCTGTTCGGTGATACAGTCTGCCAGCAGGTGATCCGGAGTGCGGTGACGGACGTAACGAGAGAGAGACAGAGATAGACAGCCTGGACCTGCTGGAAGCCACCAATCGGGTGAGAGAGTCCCATACACCAGTTAAGCAAGAGAACACTGACATTCTCCTCATACCTGCTACTTTACCTGCACACAGTTGTGGACATTGCATTCAGTTAACACGTGTTGTGGCCTAGTTCTCATAGCCACTACTGTTGAACACATTTGCAGCACAGCCCCATCATCAGAGCTGACCGCATTGCATGACGTCTGCAGGCCAGATCACATCAGTGCTCCCTTAACCACTGGCCTACCCTTATAAAGGAACTTTTACCACCACTGCCAATAGTTACTGCAGCCCAGAGTGGAGTTTTCCTCTGCCAACAAGCCTTATTGTCAGTCTGCTAACTTATTTGCCTAAAGCTGCACTTTTCTCAGTTCATTAACCACTTGCCTACCGGGCACTTATACCCCCTTATTTACCAGGCCAATTTTCAGCTTTCAGCGCTGCCGCACTTTGATTGACAATTGCACGGTCATGCAACATTGTACCCATATGAAATTTTGATCATTTTTTTCTCACAAATAGAGCTTTCTTTTGGTGGTATTTAATCGCGACTGGGCGCTTTACTTTTTGCGCTATAAATAAAAAAGTGCAAAAAATTTGAAAAAAAAAAGTTTCTTTGTTTCTATTATAAAATTTTTCAAACAGGCATTTTTTCTCCTTCACTGATGTGCGTTGATGAGGCAGCACTGATGGGCACTGATAGGCGGCACTGATAGGCAGCACTAAAGGGCACTGATAGGCAGTACTAATGAGGTGGCACGGATAGGCGGCACTGATAGACAGCACTAATGAGGTGGCACGGATAGGCGGCACTGATAGACAGCACTAATGAGGTGTCACGGATAGGCGGCACTAATATGCAGCACTGATAGGCGGCACTGATAGGTGACACTGATGATGGGTACTGATAGACGGCACTGACTGGCATCACTGCTGGGCACTGACTGGCGTCACTGACTGGCACAACCCCTGGGCACTGACTGGTGGCACTGACTGGCAGCACTGCTGGGCTGCACTGGTGGGTGGCACTGGTGGGCAGCACTGGTGTGTGGGCACAGGTGGGTAGCACTGGTGGGCACAGGTGGGTGAGCACAGGTGGGTGGCACTGCTGGGCACAGGTAGGTGGCACTTCTGGGCACAGGTGTGTGACACTGCAGAGTGGCACAGGTGGGTGCACTGCTGGGCAAAGGTGGGTGATCTGCTGGGCACAGGTGGGCGGAGCTAGTGGGCGCATTGCTGGGCACAGGTGGGTGGAACTTGCGGGTGGCACTGCTGGGCACCGATCATCACGGCACTGATCATCAGTGCCCTGATGATCGGTGCCGATCCCCGCTCTGACAACTGCCGGTTCTCGGCAGTACTTTCCTCACGATCTGACAGTGTGAGGAAAGTGCAGCCGAGAACCGGCACTTGCATTTCCCTCTGATCAGCATGTCATTGGACACCGCTGATCATGTGGTAAAAGGCCGCTGTGATTGGCCTTTTACCACATCACGTGATCAGCTGTGTCCGTAGGACACAGCGATCACGGAGATCGCCGGGCGGCGCGCCCCCTGGGGCGCGCAGGAGAGCGCGTTCTGGGGGGGACGTCATATGACGTCCACTCAGAACTGGCCAGCCGCAGTGTAGCCGTCATTCGGCTATCTGCGGTCGGCAGGTAGTTAAAGGGGCAACACCCAAGTCAATTGCCACTTAAAGTGAAAGTACTTGTCCTTACTTCTTCTTCCCCTTGTGTTGATCCTGTAAGGAACTGTCACTTACATCACTTCCTACTTGTGCACCAACTGGGCCCCAGCGAGTACGCAGAAGAGTCCTCCCTGCATTTAAAGGGACATTGACTACCCTGGTCAAAGAGCTCTTGTATATCAGATTTAAGCCTTGCCATCAGATTCTGAGGGCCCAAAGTGATCTAGTTCTCTTGTTGCTAGTTTTCATTGCTCACTGGGGTTGACACCACCTCAGGTTGAAGGTATTGGGTTAACTTATGAAAAGCAGGCCTGCTAACACTGATTGAGATTTTGCTGCATGTTTTGTTTTCTTTGCTTAGAGTTACTAAGACTGGGTAATTGCCATTACATACACATATACAACAATATGCTTTTTTGACCCAGCTTGACACCTGTGATAATTAGATTGGCCGGTGAGCCCAATTTAAGGAAAAACTACTAAAGGAGGGTGTTCCACATTATTAAGCAGAGCACCATTTTCAAGCAATATGGGGAAAAAAAAGGATCTCTCTGCTGCCGAAAAGAGTGAAATAGTTCAATGCCTTGGACGAGGTATGAAAACATTAGATATTTCATGAAAACTTAAGTGTGATCATTGCACTATTAAGAGATTTGTGGCTGATTCAGAGCACAAATGGGTTCATGCAGATAAAGGCACACTGAGGAAGATTTCTGCCAGATCCATGCTTTGGATCAAGAGAGCAGCTGCTAAAATACCATTACATAGCAGCAAACAGATATTTGAAGCTGCTGGTGCCTCTGGAGTCCCACGGACATCAAGGTGTAGAGTCCTCCAGAGTCTTGCAACTGTGCATAAACCTTCTATTCAGCCACCAATAACCAATGCTCACAAGCAGAAACAGCTGCATTGGGCAGAAAAAATACATGAAGAATAATTTTCAAACAGTCCTGTTCACTGATGAGTGCCGTGCAACCCTGGATGGTCCAGATGGATAGAGTAGTGAATGGTTGGTGGACGGCCACCCTGTTCCAACAAGGCTGCGACGTCAGCAAGGCGGTGGTGGAATCATGTTTTGGGCCGGAATCATGGGAACAGAACTGGTCAGCCCCTTTAGGGGCCCAAAAGGTGTAAAGATGACCTCTGCAAAGTATGTGGAGTTTATGACTGACCACTTTCTTCCCTGGTACAGAAGGAAGAACTATGCTTTCCGTAATAAAATCATCTTCAAGCATGACAATGCACCATCTCATGCTGCAAATAATACCTCTGCATCAATAGCTGTTATGGGGATAAAAGGAGAGAAAGTCATGGTATGGCCTCCATCCTCCCCTGACCTCAATCCTATTGAGAACCTTTGGAGCATCCTCAAGCAAAAGATCTATGAGGGTGGGAGGCAGTTTACATCCAAACAGCAGCTCTGGGAGGCTATTCTGACATCTTGCAAACAAATTCAAGCAGAAACTGTCCAAAAATTCACAAGTTCAATGGATGCAAGACTTGTGAAGCTGCTATCAAATAAGGGGTCCTATGTTAAAATGTAACGTGACCTGTTAAAATGTTTAAAAAGTTAAAATGTTGTTAAAAGTTTGATTGAAAATAGCTTTTGATTTCAGTAAATATGCTGCAAACACAACAAATGACAATTTTCAGTTTTTTACAACCTATAAAGTGTTTTGAAACTTACTGTGCGTAATCATTTGGAACAGTGCATTGGAAGTGTTTTATGTTTAAAAAAAATACTATCATTAGGAGGTTTGTTCAATAAAATTTGAGTTGTACTCTTAATAGTTGATAACATGAGAATTATGCTGACTGTTATTTACATCAATTATTTAGGTAAATGAGAAAAATATAATTTGATTATTAATTTGGAACACGGTGTACTTGTGCATGACTGGATGATGAAAGTCAGCAGAGCTTCAGCTCATTCACTAAGCTTAGAGAAAATTTCCTTGCAAACTGAACAACTTATTTGCCATTAGTAAATCAACCCTTATAGCTCAAGTACAACTCACATCTACATCTCTAGATTCCTACATCGGTAAGCACAGTGTGCCAGATATCCTGTTTTATAGATGCATATGTTTGCTTCTACGAGAGGTCTTCAAAACTTTTCTGCACTTTTTTATATATATATATATATATATACAATAGAGTTTTTAAAAAGTGTGGAAACATTTTGAAGAACCCTTGTACCTTCATAGGCATGTATGCTTATATGACAGTTTGTTGAAAAAAAATCTTTGAGTGATTGTATTATACAGTATCTGCATAAGGGCTCATGTACACTGCAGCTCCTAAATTGACGTTCAGGAGCTGTTCAGCATTTTTTTCAGCAGTCTCTGAACTCACCCTAATGTTTTCCTATGTGTCCATGTACACATAGTCGTTTACAGTCGTTTACAGGCAGTTGAGTTTATAGTCTTTTTTTTGAATGCACCAAACTTGCGTTCAGGAGTAGATTTTACCGGCGTTTCAAACGCCAAATGCCAAATGCTTGTAAACGTGTGTAAATGCTTGTAAACATGGTTAACCGCGTCTATAAGCATTTGCGTTTAGAAGCGTTTTTGAACTGTTTCATGTCCAGATGCTGTCCAGAGCCTTTTTTCATCATCAGAAATGCATGCAAAACTTTTTTTTGCATGTATTCAAATGGACCGGTACACCAGCACAGTCAGTTCCAGGTTTCGCATGAAGGAAAAAATGGTAGAACGCGCTGCATTATGCTCATGATGGGATCCATAGTGAATACAACCAGAAGAGACAGGTCATCCCAACACATAGTGCTCTCTCTGCTTCTGCTCTCTCTATTCCTCTCAAAATGTCTGAAATAGTTAATTTTTTACTATTTTTCAGTGCATTCTAGGCATTTGGGAAGGTCTCCTGAGGTTATGTTTTAAAAACGCTTCTAAACGCAAACTCACATAAACGTTGTATGCAAACACGGCTAAACTGACGTTTTTTAAGCTACATTTTCCAGCAGTCAGTTTCCATCGTTCAGAGGAGTTTTCCAAACGCCCCGTGTACATGAGCCCTAAATCTCCATTCTCTATGACCTGTTCAAAACAGTATTACTATAGGACTATCTAACTAGTTTAACAATTTCTGAAGAGTGTGATTTATAACGGATACACAGACAGCAATCCCTAGATCATGGCATATTCATGTCAATATTAAAATAAGATCTTTAATCATTTTTTTTTTTTTTTCATTAGAATGTTCCAGCAAGTTGAATAGCTGCATAGATCTATCTAGAATGATAAGTACATGGCATTCACTAAAAAACATCAATAATGTAAATGATTTACAGGAGAAAAAGAAAAGCATGCCCATGTGACCAGTAACCTATGTGAGTAAATAAAAAAATTATACTTGTCAAGGACAAGTTGCATAGCTTTAAAAAAAACAAAATCTGTGTCCTTTTCAGTGTGCTAATGTTTCTTCCTGTACTGTTTCCCAGTGCATATTATTACCTTTATATTTTTATTAATTTACTGATACAAACTCTAATAACACAGGTCTGCGACTAAAAAGCTGTTTGATTTATTTTTAATGTATTGTGGTGTGCTGAAAACAAATAAAGTATTGAAAAAACTTCTAGACGTCATGATTTGCCACAAAATGCAAAATTGTCTTCAAATTTATCAAATTTCTTTTTAATTTTTGGTATTTTTTTTTTTATATTATGGGTTTTTAACCAAATTTAAAGTCCAAATTACTATTAATTCACATAAGTGCATTTAAGATATAAAATGCCAAAAAAACCTTAAAGGGGTTGTCCGAGTTATGTAAAAACAAATATAGCACTGTAAATCTGATGGTCAGCAATATATACATAAGCTAAGCACGTTTTAGGGAAAAAAAATTCTATTTCCTCATTTCCCTAGTTCTCCCTTTCTGGCCCTTTGTTGTTATTTGTAGGTAAACAATCTCTGCCCCTCCCCCCCTGCAAAAGGTGAATACAAGTGCTGCTCTGAGTGACATGTCTGACTACTGGGATACTCAGCAGCACGCTGTATGTGTAAGCCTCAGCCCTGAGTCTGTGCTTTTAATGGTAGAAGGGGTTAATCTTTCCTGAAGAATCCAGTGGGTGGGATACCAAATGCCCTTGTTTTCTGTGTCTATGGGACAGTCCAGACCTACAAAATCACTGGACCAAGAAGAGTTGGCAGCCGAGGGTGCTAACAGTCGATGAAAAAAATGTCCTCCGAGAAACTTTGGTACCTTCCCATAAAGCTCTTCTACCACCTCTCCACATAAAATTGGGATTGATGAAGCAATTCATAAAATCACTTCCAAGAGATGGAGAATGCTTCAAATACTTGGTCACCAAGTTTCCAGGCCTGTCGGAGGCAAAATTGAAGGAAGGTGTGTTCGTCGGACCAGATATTAGAAGGCTTATAGTTGATCAAGAGTTTGTCAATACCATGATGGATCCTCAAAAAAGAAGAGTGGATTGCATTTAAAGAAGTCGTACAGAAATTTTTAGGCAATAACAAAGATCCTCACTACAAAAAGATCGTCGGACGAATGCTGAAAGCATTTCAAGTTTTAGGTTGCCTGATGAGTTTGAAAGCGCATATCCTCCAGTCCCACCTTGACTACTTTCCTGAAAATTTGGGAGCTGTGAGTGAGGAACAAGGTGAACGATTCCACCAAGACATTAAAGAGATGGAAAGGAGATACCAGGGAAAATGGAGCATTACAATGATGGCAGACTACTGTTGGATGCTTCAGAGAGACATTCCAGATGCTACTCACAAGTGTAAATG